GGATGTGGCCTGAGTCTGAATGCTGCGCTCCACTTCTTCCTGTTGCAGCCTTTGAGAGCAAACCCACTGTGCCACTCTGGCAAGATGTTCTGCTCCTGGATCACCTGGGTGGGTCTCCTCTCTGCAGGGAGTTCTGCCTCAGGGTTCCACACCAGGCCTATCTGATGGAGGCAGTTCCACATACATGGCTAGCCTGGGTGCTGGCTGGAATGAGGATCCTGTGGGCCCTATGGGGGTCCCACTCACATGCCAGGCGTGGGTGCTGTCTAGCCATTAATTTTGAATCAGAAAACTTTTCTAGTGAAAAGTTTTAAGTTTTCTTTTAATTTGAAAATCTATTACTTGCTTGTTATTTTGTGCAGAATATTTTCATTGCTGATAATGAAAATATTAGCTATGGTAGCAAACCTATGGCACATGTACTATTTCATTAAAACAAAAGATGTTAATGCATAAGCCATATTTTTCTAAATTAAAATGTCAGTATGCAGGTTCAACTGCAATAGTGGCACTCTGATAAATAAGTGGCTTTAGCTTGCAGTTTGGGCTCTGTTCTCTAAAAGGTTCACCATCACTGGCTTATATGCTTCTGGATTAATGGTTTTCTTTCAGAACCTGACAAATTATTTTGCTACTTGATTCTATCTCCTGTAGTTTCTGATGAGAAACTTTGTCCACTTAATCCACTTAAAAGTAAATAAACTATTATCCAAAAAGCAAGAATTATAGCAGTGATCAGTTATAATCTCCCAAGTCACACCCCAGAATCATCTCCTTTGAATAAATCACATCTTCTATTTCTGATATCTCCCTATAATGTTATCAAATTGTGATGTCAACAGTGAGTTAATATATTTAATGAAATTTGAACAACCATTCCCATCATCTGGTAACCAACCCTCACCATATGAGCTTTATGAGATTATTTCAAATACAACCTATCAGCCACACATGGTAGCACATACCTATAATCCCAGTACTCAGAAGGCTGAGAAAGAAAGATCAAGGCAAGTTCAAGGACAGCCTGAATTACATAGTGCAGCCCTGTCTCAAACACACAAACAAGTATAAATAATCATTTAATAATCTGAATTCTTGGGCTTGCTTTGGCAGTACATATGCTAAAATTGGAACAATAATCTGAATTCTTAATTCTGCACTGTTCATGACTATTGTCATATCCCTTGGTTTATTATATTTAATATGTTTTAATATTTTATACTTGTCTATATGCATTAATTTTGTTATTGGAAGCATCTTATTGATAACTGTTGATTTCAGGTTCTAAATTTTTATAATGAATTTATAATTTATTTAAAGTTTTTTAATGTATTTGGTACAGGGTATATAGGGTGTTCAGGGTCTCACTACATACATTGGAATCATAGTGAGCCTCCTGTTTCCAGCCTCCCATGTGCTGGGATTACAGATACACACCACCACGTCTAGTCTCAATCACTGTCTCAGCATGCCCCTGGGGCAGGGCCAGCATGGCATGCTGGGAATTTAAAGTTTTATAATTCAAGTTTATCAATAAATTCAAAATACAGTTTATATAAACACAACATTATTTTTAGATTTTTTTCTTATTTTATGTGTGTTCTTCATAAAGACTACATTCTATTTTTTAACTTCTCTAGTTTTGGAAAAAAGAAACATCACATCATAATAGCATGTGGAGAAAAGCCACTCACTTCATGGAGGCTGAAAAGCAGGGTAGAGCGAAAGAGTGCTAGCGACAATTGGACCTTCCAAAGGCAGATTCCAAGACCTCCTCTCCCAACTGGGCCCCACCTCCTAGCTGCCCATTCATCTGTGGGTAGTAGTAGATTATCCCTGAATAATGTAACACTGCTGTGAGCCAGTCACCATTCCAGCAGTCTCTTAATACATTCAAGTTCAAATTAAGATTAAATGGCAGAGTATATTACTCTATGAAGTTGACTATAATTTCAAAATAAATATTTTGGTAAGATATTGCATTTTTGGTATTTGTATGAAAAGTAAAAACAAATGAATGTCAAATGCTTGAACTGGAAATCTCTGCCTGAAATTAGCACTGCTTGACTACATTATCAATTTCACTTTCATTCTATGACAAAAAGTGGTATCTGCCATCCAAGAATCTACAGTTTCTTTTATGTTTACTTTTGAAAAATGTTTTGCAAGTCTTATGATTAAACTCAGGGATGCTCTGTCACTGATTTACATCCTGAGCCCTATTTATTTTAGAGTCATGGAAACTTGTCCATGCTGACCTCAAACTTGTGATCCATCTGCCTTACACCCCATCTTATCCTACCTTCCTTGTTAATAGAATATTTTTTTAAAGACGTAACTGTCCACTTAAATGTATTCATCATAATGGATTACCTTTATTTTCCACTGCACATTAGCAAAGTTAGGAAATTTGTTAAGCATTAACTACCAGTGGGGCTTGCATGTTAGCACAGTTGTTTAAAGCCCTGCTTGGGCAAACTCAGTCAGGTGCAGGGGACCGCAATTTGATTCCCAGAACCACCTGCTGCACCAGACCCACCCTTAAGGCAGCCTGAGCCAGCCAAAAAAAAAAAAAGAAAGAAAGAAAGAAAGAAAGAAAGAAAGAAAGAAAGAAAGAAAGAAACAAAGCTCCTCAAGTGCTCAAGTATTAACTACCAGTGAATGTTCAAGACTTAGAAGAATCCACTACACTTATCATGTAACAGATTTCATACTTAGTATGAGTGAAAAACTAAAATTTACAAAGTGCCTACAGCAATGACTTTCAAAAAGTGTTTGTCTGGCACTTTCTACACCACTAATTCAGCAGTACTGCCTGCCTTTAGACACACAAGTCACACCATTTCTGGTTTAGGATAATTCATCACCCTACCTTTATCCCTCCCTCATGATAAGCAGCCAGCAAAATATTGCATTGGGTAATATTTATTTATGAGGACATACTAAGAGAGAACCACCATATTTTCTGTCTCATATAACATAATTGATATTTTTCATCTCCATTAAGAAGTCTGAATTCCTCAGTGTGTCACTCAAGCTACCCTCTAATGATTTGTCCTCCTCAAACATTTTATTAATTCTCCTAAATAAACCTCACTCCATCAATCCACTTGATTTTCCTTCAAGATATCAGTGGTGGTCCCACCTTTGATTATACCATAATATACAACTAGAATACTTAAATGAAATTCTTACTTGAGGCTCAGGTTTAAGACACTAGACTCAAATACTGTCTTACTGCTAAATTTTTAACTATTTATTATAGACTATTACAAAAACAAAAAGTTTTTCAAATTATTATTGCAAAATCATTAATATACTCACAATTTTAAAGAAACATATACATTTATAAGAAAAGTTTACAACTAGGCTACATTATGTAGAATCATTCCTCAGGGTTCTTAAATCTTTTCAGTTGTATTACTGTTCAAAATATTCTATTCTTCAAGATTTGAGACATATACAGTCTTGTTCCAAATAATGACATTTTGGTTGGCTGTACCACCATATAAAAAATTAGATTTTATAACCTAGTGATGGCTTCCTATTTGGGGGTAAGTACACTGTATGATGTTTTGAGAAGAATAAATACACCTAACAGTACATTTCTGAAAACATACTAAAAGACAGATATATCACATCAAAAACACTATCCTGTCGCAAGCTAATTACTATACTATATCTTATACTTAACTTTTATTAATTAATTAATATATTTATTTATTTATTTTATGCAGAGTCTCACTACACAGCTCAGACTCCTAGTGATACTCCTGTTTTCTGCCTCCCTACTTCTGGGATTACAGGTGTGTGCCACCATCAATGGCTCAGATACCCTGGGGCAGGGGCAGGGCCAGCACTGCATGTGGCACCAGGGATGGAACCCTAGCTCTTGTGATTACCTAAGCAAGTGCTAAGTCCACTGAGCTATACTGTCGGCCCCTGACATTCTAACTGTTGCAGTTAATCCTCTTATTTCCAACACTTATTTATTCATTCTAACATTCATATACAATAATTCTTGTCTTATTTTTAACAATACAGTATTGTCTGTACTGGTACAAAAGAGTATTTTGTGATTTCTCCATTACAGTGGTCCCTCACTTACCATGGAGGTTATGTTCTAGACATTCCCATGGTAAGTGAAAATCAGCAAAGTAGCGACATTGTATTTATTTTAGTATTTATACATATTTTAACACTTTATAGCTTTCCACAGTCTTACAAACCTTCTCCAAACTTTAAAAAACATTTCTAAAGTTCTTAACAATTTTCTAAACTCATAAGTCTACATAATTTTAACAACATATGTATGCTGTATGGAACTGCAAAATCCGATGTTATAGTGAAAAATTCAAGATAAATAATTTAGATTACTATGTTTTGAAAACCCACAAAACAGTGAGTCCACAAAAGTTGAATATTTAGCGAAATAGTGAGGGACTACAGTACTTATTCTAATATTTTCAAAATCAAAATATGATGAACTGATCATGACATTACCAAATTGCATAAAAATTTACTAGTTCATTCTTTTCCAATGGCACAAATTATTCCTTATGGTATTTCAGAAATACCATACATTTTATAATGGAATTATGCATGCAAAATCTAAATGAGGTGCTGGGGAGACAGCTCAGTAGAATAAGTGCTTCCCTGGCAAGGGCAAGGGCCTGAGTTCAATCACTGGTTCCACAAAAAAAAAAAAAAAAGAAAGAAAGAAAAAGAAAAAAAATTAAATGAATTAGAGATCTACTTTCAAATTTTTTAAAAAGTATTTTAAAGCTTGATGATTTTAAGCTTCACATTTCCATGCAACAGGTATAGCAGCCTTTAAAAATGGTTAGCTACAAACCATTATTAATATATTCACTGATTTTTATATTTTATAGACTTGACTCCAAACTATGAAAAAAATTAATGAATTCAGTTTCAGCATTTAGAAGTTAAAATTTTGTTTTTCTAAATGTATTTAAAATGAAATCAATAACCCCAATTACCTTTATTAAAGCAGGACAGAAGTTAAAGAAAAGTCGGTCATTACATGTTTTGAACCTTTCAGGAAGATGCCAGTTCTGAATGATTTCTTCATCAGAAATCACATGATGATCCAGGGCTTTAAGTGTCCATATACAATTAACAAGAACATGTCTATATCCTTTTTTAAGGCTTACTGGACAGTCAAACATAGTGAGAGCAATAAGAGTTGGACAGGCAGATAATGCACACAAATTCTTCAGCTTTGCAAATGCATTGTCATGAAGATAGAGGAGTTGTAGATTCTTTAATCCACTCCAAAAATGAGTATCTGGTAGATTCTTTATCTGAAATATCATTAAAAGTCTTTTAGTTTAAGTATTGCTATCCACAAATTACATAGAAAATATAAAACATTAAATATCTAAAACTCACTTTCTTCCAGATGGCAAAATTCTTACTTATTTGTTTCCCACGATCTATATATTGAGCATTTGGAAGGAGCTAATTTATATATATATATATATATATATATATATTCCAGATCAATTTCCCTGAAAACAGGCTGACTCTTCAAACTTTTCTAATATACTCCTGAAATGAATTTATGAGTCAAGAAGTATTTTTATATAGCCTGTAGTTTTAAGAAGCAGAATATACCAAATCGTGCACTGATCATGTATTGTTTTTTATTTTGAATGGTTTATACTTTTAATTTCATGTCTATTTTCATGGTATTTTTGAATTTATTTAAAAATTTTTGTTTATAACGTAAGTAAAATGCTACCTGGCAAATGCTGTGGATAGATACCACACTTGTTTATCATATAAAACTTTACTTAGATACAAATATCTTAAATGATTATTGCTTACCTGGTTTCCATGGAGATCAAGTTTGATTAATTTTATGCAACTCTGAAGTGGATGTATATCTGTAATAAAATTGTTTGAGAATATGCATACTCTTAGAGAGATGCAAGATTGCAGATTTTCCATAGATTTTAAATGAAGGCCATTGAACTTCATAAAAACAAAATCTTTTTGATCTTCTATTATATTTTCATTATAGTGACTCCACTCTTCATGATTGATTAGTTCTTCTATGATTGTTCCATGAAACATCTAGGAAAAATGGATAGCTGCTTAAAATATTTTCAACCTTTAAAAATCTACTTGAAATCTATATCTCTTCCATAGAAGAAAATGAAGGGACATACATAGCCATGCTTTCACATAGTTAGCAAAATCATTCTGCTTTAGGTTCTACTAAATGAAAAACTATACACTGACCAATTAACAAGTCAGGAGAACAATACTATTTCGGTGAAGTATAAAAAAATGCAGCCACATAGAACTAAATTGGAATATAGAATTTCAAATGTTATCAATAATACTTATTTCTTAAATGGACACTTGCTATTACATTATTTTTATATTCAGCCTTTTAGAGTTTAGCTAATTAAATTTATCTATAACCTTTGGCTCAATGCATTATTATATAATCTTACGTGATGTCACTCATGTATATGATTTTAACCTACTTATTAGTGGGTAATTTCAGCTTTCACGAAAGGAAGTCAGTAATGTTAGTTTAAAAGAGAATGCATAACCTCAAGTGGTCTACTCAGGGATTCCTTGAATGATTGAAAATAAAATTCTACCATGTGCAGGTAAACTAAATTAACACAATTCAAGTAAAAATAAATGAGAATAGATAAACTCATACTATATCAAGATAACAACTGATAAATCAATATTAGTACATTATTAACTGAAAAGTTCATATTTTACAATGGGATTCACTGTTTCATCTTCTAGAAGTTTCTTCTAATGTATAATGACATGCATATATTATTGTATCATACACAATCAAAAAAGATACTTGTAAGAATTAAAAAAGTATGATGAAAGGTATATTCAATTTAAATGTGAAATAATCACAATATTACCTAATTCAATGCCTTTTCTTTCCATTTTGAAAAATGTCTACCTTTTAACATAAAAATACCTCAGCAAAAAGAAAGTGTGAGAATTAAATGCTATGGTGATTAAACAGACATGGGTTTTGTGACTTAAGAAATTCTTTTAGGGCTGGCCAAACAACTCAGAGGATTTATGCACCTGCAAGCAGGCACAAGGGCCAGGGGTTCCATCCCCAAGACTCCCATACAGAAGAAAAAAAGAAATTCTTTTAAAAAGAATGAAAACCTTAAAGTTTCCTAATTTTTAAAGGTCTCTTAAAGATATTTTAAAGGTCCAAATCTCAGACTTATATAACAAAGAGAGAAGTAAAATTAAAAGCTCTTTTCTCATTAATATATCTAATGGCAACTAGATTTGACACCAAATACTTAATCCTTTTTTTTTTTTTTTTTTTTTTT